TAACTAAATTCTTATGAAGGTTAATGAGTATGTGAATTAGCATTCACCAATAAATTAAAGTGAACAACCACTTTCACTTACCCTTTGAAATTAAAATAAATTCATTTCTAACAATTAGGATGATCCTGCAATATTATGAATCTGGTCAGTTAACTCTCCTTACTTAAGTCCTTCAACTGCCTTCAGGACAAAGTCCAAATTCCTCCACCAGTCATGAAGGTACTGAGGCATCTACACTACTTTCCTGTTTTGGCTCAAATGTACCTTAAATCCTAACTATCTGCACTGAACAAAAATATGTCCTGATTCCCACCTGCCCACGTAATTGCTGCCCCTTTGGTTTGATATGCCCATCACCTTCCTTTAATCTGGCCAATTCCCACTCACCCTCAAAACACAGCTAAGACAGCACCTCCCCATGAGAGGCCCCCTGACTGCTCACCTGGCTTAAATACTGTTTTCTCTGCTTCAACAGCTTTCTGTGATCACCTCCAGAAAACCACACAGAAGGGCAGAGTATAACTGCTTATCCATTCATACATCTTCCCACTTGTCTGTAAATTCCTTAAAGGCTTGAACTGTGTCTTTTATCTCTAAATCCCCAGAGCCCTGTACAAAAATTGGTACACAGTATGAGCCCAAGTAAATAAATGCCTTTTAAATACACAAATGAACAAATGAATATAGAAAGGCATCCCAATTTTATTTCTGAAGAAGAAAGGAAATTGCTAAAAGTATCTATGAGTAGCTAAGATGCCATAATTTTATCTATTTAATTACCAAACAAATGATAAGGGCCATATATAATCAACTTGAGTTTTTAGGTCCAATGACAACTCTCAATGAAACCAAAAATGCAAAAATGCAGGAACACTCCTTAGTTTCCTAATTGCAGGAAAATTTGGCATATGGCAACTAAGTCTTTACAACTGTAATTGGCAGATTCAAGGCCTAGTAGTCAGCAATTTCTAGTTTAAAGAGCATGTAGTTTAAAGAGCATGGTAGGGCGCCTGGGTGGCTCAGTTGGTTAAGCGACTGCCTTCGGCTAAGGTCATGATCCTGGAGTCCCGGGATCAAGTCCCGCATCGGGGCTCCCTGCTCAGCGGGGAGTCTGCTTCTCCCTCTGACCCTCCCCCCTCTCATGTGCTCTCTCTCTCTCTCAAATAAATAAATTCTTTAAAAAAAAAAAAAGAGCATGGTAAACTGCAACAGCCTCCCAGGTGATCCAGACATCCAACCAGATGTACCGTGGTTACCTTACTACGTGCCAGGCACTGAGATAACTGCTCACAACAATTATTTTGATGAGGAGCGCCTGAGTGGCTCAGTGGGTTAAGCATCCGTCTATTTTTTTTTATGTTTTGTTAGTCTTTTATTAAATGTATTTCCATATTTTCATATACATATATATTTTTTTACTAAAACAAGATCATAATGTTGTAAATAGTTTGTTTTCTTTTCATATCTTTCTCTTTCCCTGTCAATAAGTTTCCACAGCCTCTAATACCTCAATCATGCTGAAATTACCCTAATTGTCCCACAACTATTTTCCCAAAGCTAGTTTATCCAAATCACGTTTTAGGTCTGGAGGCTGCATTTTATCCAGCTTGTATATCCCTTAGGTGTTTTCAATCTAAAACAGTCCTTTTCTTCACCTGTTAATTTTCCTGCTCGATGTTTGTCTGATCACTTCCTCATGCTGTCACTTAGCCTGCTCCTCTGTCCCCTGTATTTCCTAGAAATCAGAAGGTACATCTAAGAGCTTGATCGATTTATGTTGATAAACTTCGTCTAGAATACATTTTGGGTACCACTGTATGTTTCATATGGCTTTTCTTCAGCAGGCACATGCCATATGGTTTTACCATCACTGAAACTCAGACTGTCCTCTGGGTCTCATAATGGCTGCCCGAACTGGCTGCTAGACAGTGATGTGATGCCCCTGTGACCAAAAAGTATTCGGTGTGGAGTTCCTTTAATACCACACAGATGTGCGGTTTCCCCTCAGCCATTCACTGCATGGCCAGTTCCATTTGACAGCCTTTGCCTGAATTAACATTTGTTAGAAATCACAAAATGATGATTTTTCTAATGTTATCATTTCTCCTACGTTTATCAGCTACCACTCCTTAGTGAAGAAGAGCTTTCCCTAATCAATTAGATCCATTTGGTTACTCTGAAAACCACTGAGACAAGCATCCAAGTCCTAATTTCAGTTCAGGTCATGATCTCAGAGTTGTGAGATCGAGCCTGCATAGGGCTCTGCCCTGGGGCATGGAGCCTGCTTAAGAGTCTGTCTCCTTCTCCCTGTGCACCTCCCCACCACTTGCAGCATGCAAGCGCACTCTCTCTCTAAAAAAAAAAAAAAGATATTTAAAAATAATTACTTTAATGGTAAGACAGCATTTCACTTTCAATCCTGATGTGAATAATCTATTCATGCTGTTCAACCTAAATCCTACCAGTTCATCCATACCCCACCAAAAGCCAGTCATTCTTCTCAACTGTGAGGTTTATTATTGTAAGAAGTAGAAACTGCATAGGTCCAAGGTATCTTCTGCCCCAAGTGGAAAGGCCTATGATCCAAAAACTGCCGAAGTCCTGCTCCATAAATGGAGAGAAAAGAAGGAAGACTGGCCTGTTTTCCAAAGGTGGTGGTCTTACACCAACACAGTGAAAGGCAGGGGGTACCTGAAGACACGACCAGCACGAGGCAGAGACTTGGAGCTTCCAGGTTCAATTCTGCAGTTTTCTTTTTCCGCATTTCTATTTCCTTCTGTTGCCCTTCCCCTCTGAGAAAGTCTTCGTGATTTGTTTTAAAGCACCGGCTCTATCAGCAAAAATTCAGACTGTAAACTACGGATGAAAGACCCCCTGTCTTTGATGAATAAATTGCAAAGAAAAAATCAAGGAAATGGAGAGGAGGAAACTATGCATTAGAGACTCAAAAAAATAAAATAATTGCAGTCTATAGACACTATTTGGATCCTGAATCAAACAAACAAATTTAAATATATAGGTATTACATTTATATATATATTTATCAAATATACTTACATATATTTAACATATTTATATACTTAATTTATATTTATATGTTAGGTATAATATCATGGTTACATTTTTAAAAGACGCCTTTTAGAAGTGCAGAGTGAATTTTTTATGAATGAAATTATATACTTGCTTCAAAATAATAGGAGGGAAGAAAATAGGTAGGAGATAGATGAAACAAAATTGGCTATGAGTTGCTAATTGTTGAAGCTGGAGGTTCATTATAATATTCTATTTTGTGTGTATTTGAAATTTTTCATAATCAAAAGTTGTAAAAGTGTGTGAGAATATTCCTCCACAGAAATAACTTTCATTTACTAAAAGAGTGTCCCCTACTTCTAATTCTTCAGTTTTATTATGAAAACAAGTCAGAATGAAAGAGGAAAACAGGTATTTATCAAAAGTTAATTCAAATAATGGGATCCTTCGTTAAAGCTTGGCACATCAGATTTTCTACTACAATAATCAAACTTTGATGGATATTACTGTAGCCCTTTAAATTAATTTCTTACACAAAAATTTCAACAGAGCTAAACCTTTGGCTACAAATACAGATTTAAATGGCATTTTTCTATTTTTACATATTTTACACATATAGATCAAATACTATGACTTTCACAGCATCAACGTACATCTTAAAGTTTTTTTTTTTTTTTTTTTTTTTTTTGCGAGAGAGAGAATGAGAGAGAGCACGAGAGGGAGGAGGGTCAGAGGGAGAAGCAGACTCCCTGCTGAGCAGGGAGCTCGATGTGGGACTCGATCCCGGGACTCCAGGATCATGACCTGAGCCGAAGGCAGTCGCTTAACCAACTGAGCCACCCAGGCGCCCAGTATTTTTTTTTTTTTTAAGATTTTATTTATTTATTTGACAGAGAGAGAGATAGCGAGAGCAGGAACACAAGCAGGGGGAGTAGGAGAAGGAGAAGCAGGCTTCCCGCGGAGCAGGGAGCCCGATGCGGGGCTCGATCCCAGGACCCTGGGATCATGACCTGAGCCAAAGGCAGACGCTTAACGACTGAGCCACCCAGGCGCCCCCATCTTAAAGTATTAATAAATATATCTGCACATGTGAAAATGTTCAGCCTGCCTTTAGGTCAGTGAAGTTTACAACATTTTCAACCACATGAACAAGTTCTACCTTAATACAGATGAATAAACTGTTTGCCAGTCTGATGTACATAAACACAAAAACTGTTTACAGAGCCCCAAAATAATTATAAGTTCAAAATACTTTTCAGTCATTAGCTGTGGATGTGTGTTATTGATCTAAATATGGGTAAAAGGCAAACTTAGGTGTTTTTAAACATAGTTTATAAATGCCCAATAAACAACACGGCTCAAATTACACTAAAGGACTGCTACCAACGAAGAAATGGGGGAGGAGACGCCTTATCTGAAAGGTAGAGGTGAATGGGTACATCTCTGGTGTCCACAAATTGAGTGAGCTGAGAACACTGCAGTTGAGCTTATTTTTACAGTTTGAGTTTAGTTAGGGATGTCTAGGCTTGTCTTTTCATCTTTTCTACAGTACCAACCTTGGTTTAAATCACGTATAAAGTCTTTTTGAGGATTAAAACAAGCACCACAATGATGATGATGCAAATCCTGCCAATATTAAATCCCTGCTTGCTATGCATGGCACCTGACAGAGGTGAGAGGGGCTCCGGCCCTTCGCTCAGGCTGCCGCACTGCCGAAGACATCCCGCACAAACTCCTCTCTAGCAAAGCTCCGGCCTGTGCTTCTTTGGGGGGGGCGGGGGGGGTTCTGTCCCTACCCCCAACCCCCGCCCCGCTCCCTTCTTTTTTGCACAGAGAGCGCCATGCATGACTCGCATTAGGACTGCGCTCATTTCACCAAAGACACTGCATCTCCTGGGCGACGGAGAGCAAACGCGGGGTAGGGTGCGCCAGGCCGCGCCCAGGCCCAGCCCCCGGACCCCGCCTCTCACCTGCCCGCCGCCGGGGAGGCCCCGCACCCGCGTGTCGAGCGCGTCGTGTCCAGTTTCGTCTTCGCCGCCGGAGCTGTAGAGAAGCCGGAGTGGCACGATGCTCTGGCGCTCCAGGAAGCGGTTTTCGTTCCTCCTCTCCAGCTCCGTCAACGAGGCGTCTCCTCCAGGCAGGAAAAGGGTAAGGAGGGAGTGGGGAGAAAAGGAGAAAATAAGGACCCTGACCCATACTCGTGCCTTCTGCGGTCCGACGTCTCCTCTATGGAAATCCCGCCGCCCCCTCCCTCCCGGTCCCTATCTGAGAAGGACGCAGAGACACCAGCCGGAGAGCCCTGGACCAGCTCCTCTGAGATCATCCAGGATCGGGGCCCAGAAGCACAGCACCCCTTTCCGATCCTCCGCATTCCTCCTCTTCAGAAGAGGAAAAACAGGCATTTGACCGAAGGCTTCTAATGCATCCGCGCGCCCCCACACATGTATTTTTGCTTCACTTCTCACCACCCTTCTAAATAAAAAATCTCCCCGCGCACTCGGGAAAGGGGGATGCCCGTTTCAGTGCGCTTGAGGGCTGCAAAGACTCCCGGAAAATGGTACGTCCCGAAGCCACAGAGGGTGGCGAACTTACCTGCCCGGCCGCAGCGTGCCGGGGGGCAGGTCCCCAGGGCGCAGAGCAGCAAGAAGGGCACCGACGCAGCCGCCGCCGCCTGCATGGTGCTGCCGTCAGCCCGCCTCGTTCGAGACGCTCAGCTCCTCATGCCCGGGCCTCCGGGTCCGCTTCCCTCGGCCCGCACCCCCGGGCTCGCCTCGGCCGCCCCCTCCCAGCCCCGACCGGTGCTGCGGCGGCCGTGGCGCTGCAGCCTCCGCCGCGGCGCGGCCTCAGTGCTGCATTGTGCTCCGCGGGCGCTTCCGCTGGCGGGGGGAGCGAGCGAGTGCTGCATTGGGCGGTTGGCTGTAGCTAAGTGGTTTCTAGCGCCTCCCACCTCATCCCATGGCAAAGGCTCCGGCGGGCGACGAGCGCTCGGCAGGGAGCGAGCGCCTGGTGCACTCGCCCCCCGCGCGCGGACAGGGGCGCGCGCCGGAGAGTCAGCTGGGAAATGTAGTTCTCGCTCCGCATCCCGCTCGTCTCCACGAAGGTGCGGACTGTCGCGACCTCGTGACCACGGAAGCCAGGAAGGGGGAAAAGGGCAGAAGAGAGGTCATCGCTGGTAGGCCTCCTGGGCACCGAAATAGCCCACCTGTGCCGCTGCGAGAGCCAGTATTCCTTCACTCTGTGCGTCCGCAAAGAACCGTAATAATGTTTTCCACAGATTCAGTAGTTACTTAAATTATTGTCAAGGAGTTACACCCTCAAGAGTACGTGGTAAGTTAATCATGCATCAAATACTGATTGAGGACCTGCTGTGTGCCCGGTGGCTGACTAAGCAGGGGGACACAACCATGAACGGCACGAGTGTAAGAGGCACGTGCTCTCAGATAGAGTAAAAACACCGTTTTTTACATTACAGTGTGAAAGTGCCCTGGTAATGCTTAGAGGAGGATCATTAACTCAGCCAGGCGGTCAACGCAGACACTGGAAGGATGTCTTGGATTTAGCCCAAGTGTCCAGGATGTTTTGTCCTTTCTCTGATCTCTGCCTGTCTCAAACCTGTTTGTGAAAACCAGGCTTGAGGAACTCGACCTTCTCAGGCTGCTAATTCCATTTTTCTCTAATTCCAAATGTTAGAAACTCTTGAGGATAAGACAGTAATACAATTATTAATTATCACCATAATTAACACTTATGTAGCATGATACAGTTTTTTCTGAGGTCACATAATGCCGTTTGAACTTTGGATCAGCAATTTGGTAAGTATTATTATTCCCATTTCAGAGAGGAGAAAATTCAGGCTTAGAGCTGCACCTTCCAAGTACTGTAACCACTAGCTACATGTAGCTATTTAAATTTAAATTAATTAAAAGTAACTAAAATTAGGGCGCCTGGGTGGCTCAGTCGGTTAAGCGACTGCCTTCGGCTTAGGTCATGATCCCAGGGTCCTGGGGTCGAGTCCCACATCGGGTTCCCTGCTCCGCAGGAAGCCTGCTTCTCCCTCTCCCACTCCCCCTGCTTGTGTTCCCTCTCTCGCTATGTCTCTCTCTGTCAAATAAATAAATAAAATCTTTTAAAGATAAGTAACTAAAATGTAACATTCAGTTCCTCAGTCACACTAAACACATTTCTGTACTGCCTATGACTAGCAGCTACTGTATTGTAGAGCAAAAATATAGAACATTTCCATCATTGCAGACAGTTCTATTGGACACAAGTGGCTTAGAGAATTTAAAGGACTTTTCTTAAGGTTCCATGGCTAGTTATAGAGTAGACTGGATATCCTGCTTTCAGATCTGAGTCTTTTTCCACAGTTCCCTGGTGGAACCTGTGTCTTTATAACCTCCATCCTGATTCTGGTCCTGTAAAGCATGCAGAAGAATCTTACACATGATGCTCTGTGGAGATGTTTTTTCCCTTCCCCACTGGAAAAAAAATTTTTTTTTACTCCTGCCTCTTGTGACATGGTTTCAGGTTTCCATCATGATGATTTGAAAACACACTCCAGTATGTCAGTGTCCCAGCTAGAGTGTGGTATTCAGTATTAAATACTACTTAGACATGGTTTTACAAGCAAACAGTAGAGAGGGACTCTTCTCCCTTGAAAGAACATTCTATCATATTTAAGTAACCACATCTCATTGATCTTACTGTCATTTCAAAAAAAATTTCCCCAGATTTTCAAATAAATAAGGACACTTAAGAATTTTATATATGACATGCGATTATAGCCTGAATAGGGGCTAAAAGATTTCAGTGGTACACTTTACACCTTGATGCAAGAGATTTCATAGTAAGCTACAGTAAAAGAGAATTAAAACCCAAGGGCCTGGAGGCACCCGGGTGGCCCAGTCGGTTAAGTGGTGGACTCTTGGTTTCGGCTCCACTCATGATCTCAGGGTTGTGAGGTCCTTGAATGGTATTCGTGGTATTTCTGTTGGTTTTGTACATTTTATTAGAAAGCACTATAAAATAGCCACACTGACACTTTAGTTCTACAGTATGCAAGTACAAATAAGTTGTAATATTAGGAAAACGTTTGTTTTAATGTGAGAATGAGCATATCCAGTTTCTGCTGTACAGTATTGAAATTTTATTTACAGAGCTAAAAAAATTGCATGTGTTCTTTGGAAAAGTTTTTATTCAGTTCCTCTGCCTATTTTCTAATCAGATTGCTAGTTTTGCTATTGATTTGTGTGAGTTAGTTATATATTTTGGATATTAACCCCTTACCAGAAATATGATTTGCAAATATTTCCTCCCATTCAGTAGGTTGTCTTTTCATTTTGTTGATGGTTTCCTTTGCTGTGCAGAAGCTTTTTAGTTTGATATAGCACCACTAGTTTATTTTTATTTTTGTTGCCTTTGTTTTTAGCGTCAAATCAAAAAAGTGATTGCCAAGACTAATGTCAAGGAGTTGATGTCAAGAGTTGTGGAGTTGGTTAATAGAACATGGTTCCTTTAGAAGCAAAATGGATAGAAAATAACAAGGTAATTTCTCAACATGTACCATTAAAATAAATCAGCCTCAGGAGGCTGTGGGAAGTTGCTCCAATCAAGAATCATGACTTCTATTTCCAGATTTGAGTCAGTTTTTCAACCCAGAAACCACCAACTGAAGAAAAGGTCATGTCCCCAGGAGAAGGACCCTGCATCACATGTCACGTACACATGGTAACTATTCCCTTAGCTCTTCCCCAAAGGGAATTATCTCCACTTACCTGGGTAACTGCACTGGAGAAAGGGGTAAGAATACCCAAATAACTGTTGGATGCAGGGTCTGGACTGACAGTGATACCTGGGACCCAAAGCACCTATTATAGTGGGGACATGTGGGAGCCAGGTAATAAATGGAGTCCTGGCCAAGCTTTGGCTCATAGTGGGTCAATAATGTCATTTGCTTAGCCTCTGAATGTTTTATTAGAAAATACTTAGTACTTCAGTAAATCACCCACATTGTATTTCAGACCTATGGGGTAAGAATTATAGTGGACAAGACCAAAAAAAAAAAAAAAAAAAAAATTGAAAAGAAGAAAAGACCAAGTGAAAAACTGAAACTGCCTCTATCTCTCAGCCAAAGAATAAATCAAAAACAGTGTCTTAATCTAGGGCGATGCTGGTGGTAGTGGTGATGGAGGAAATTGATGCCTCTGTTAAATATCTAAAGATAGTTGATTCCCATCCTATTCACCTGGGTTATAAAGAGTAACAGTAGATGGGGGGGATGGGTTAGCCCGGTGATGGGTATTAAGGAGGGCACGTACTGCATGGAGCACTGGGTGTTATACAAAAACAATGAATCGTGCGGGGCGCCTGGGTGGCTCAGTCATTAAGCGTCTGCCTTCGGCTGGGGTCATGGTCCCAGGGTCCTGGGATCAAGCCCCGCAGCGGGCTCCCTGCTCTGCGGGAAGCCTGCTTCTCCCTCTCCCGCTCCCCCTGCTTGTGTTCCCTCTCTCGCTGTGTCTCTCTCTGTCAAATAAATGAAATATTTAAAACAAAACAAAACAAAACAATGAATTGTGGATCACTACATCAAAAACTAATGATGTATTGTGTGGTGACTAACATAATAAAATAAAATTTAAAAAAAAAGAAAAAAAAAGTAACAGTAGATAGCCACAAACTGCACCAAGTAGTAGCCTCAACTGCAGATGCAGTGCCAGATGTGATATCCTTTTCATTGCGAATGAACATAGCCTCAGGTACATGATATGCAGCCACTGTTTGGGCAGATGGATAATTTTCCATCCCGGTCAGAAAAAAATCAGGGACAGACTGCATTCACAGGGAAAAGATTACAGTATACATTTTACTTCTCCTCCATTAAAATTTGAAGAGGATGCCATTGAGAACATCACATTAATCCATTATATTGATGATACCATATTTATCAGACCGTATGATTAAGAAGTTGCTAACAGACTGGAACTTTGGTAAGGCACATGTCCTCCAGGGCGTGAGACATGTACCCTAATAAGATTCAGGGACCTGTCACATCAGTAACATTTTTAGAGTTCCAGTGGTCAGGGGCATGCCAGAGGATCCCATCCAAAGTAAAAGACAAATTATTGCATCCTGAACTTCCCAAACACGAAGGAAACATAATGCTTGGAAAGCCTCTTCAGATTCTGGAGGGAGTCTATTCCAAATGGGAGTACTACTTCCACCCAAGGGCATGAAAGGCTGCCGGCTGTAAGCAAAAAATAGCTCTGCAGTCATATAACCAGGCAGGTTCAAAGGTTTGAGAGGCCTCAGTGGTAGGAAAACTGGAGTTTATGGAAAGCCCCAATAGGGAAATGACAACTTTCCCTGGGGGCTTAAAGCTGTGCCATCTTCAGTGGAGAATGATGTACTTTGGAAAAATGAAAATAGTTTGTTGTAGATGATGACATAGGAGAGACGAAGTGCCTGTCTGTGGGGCAAAAATCATCATGTGGTCACAACTGCCAGTCATGAGCTGAGGTTGTCATTAGATCTATCAAGTCATCAAATTGGGCAGGTGCACCAATAATCCATTGTAAAATGGAAGTGGTACATCCAGGATTGAGCTAGAACAAGACCAGAGAGCTAAGGAATGAGCAGGCAGCCCAGCTGCCCATGTCATCCACTGCTATCGCATCAGTTCCTTTCCCTCAGGTCACATCTACAGGTGTGAGCCATCCTTTGGACCAGATGGAGAAACCCTAATTTAATCAGGGGATTAGTTGCTTCTGTGGGTGCAAGCTGAAAATACATGGTAGCTGCCCATACAGCTCCACTCAGTGGTGGCACTGAAAGC